AAATTAATTTCGATTTTATTTAGTAGACTATAAATTTATTAAATTATATTTTGTTCCCACCTGTCTCTAATTTAGAAAAATAATTTTGTACTTTAGGAATTTTTGAAATAAGCAGAGTATTTTTTTGAGCATTTTCTTTTGCTCTCTTCCTATTTTTACTGCCACTAGCTTTCTTTTTTCTCACTTCATTGACTGAATCCATATCGAGAAAAAGCAATAATTCAATGTTTAAATACTAAACTAAAGTTATCAACAAGCTAATATAAATAAAATATAAGCCAAACTACCCAGTCACAAAAAAAACATATTAATTCTAAATAAATTCTAAATAATTACTTAATTATTTAAAATTGCAATTTATGTATGCAAAAGGAACGTACCAATATAATGGATCACGGACAGTGGCGTAGCCAGGATTTTTTAATGGGGGGGGGGGCTAACCACTTTTTTGGATAAGTAAGGTAGGAGAGGATATGAGAATTCACCCTTACCCTCCCACCATCTACCACCAAGTTTCTAAACGTAATTCAAGCATTTAAGTATAGTTTTAAAAATATTTATTAATATATAATTTATAATAATAATAATAATTTTGGTTTCAGTGTTCAGTCACTTGCTCCACACTGACAGCTGCATCCTCTTAAGCGAATTTCTTGCAAATTCAGTTATTATTTCACTTTTATCGAACTGCTCTTTTTTATTTATATTAGCCATAGCTAACCCATTCATATTTTCCGACATGGTGCTCCTTAAAAAAATGTTTAAGCGATTAAGTGCTGAAAACGTTCTTTCCGGAGTGAAAGAGGTAACTGGTAACGTGGCGAATAATTGTAAAAGTATTTTAATGTTAGGTCGAAGATTGGTGCGATGAGAGAGTGAATCAAGAGCAGTATATAATAGTATTTTGACTCCATTGTTGCCTCCATATGAACAGGTCAGCTCTGATTGTAGATGAGGTATCATCATGGAGATCTTGGACATATATTTTAGCAGCTTTTATAATATTTTTATCGTCATACATATTTAAATTGGCCGAAATAAGTCCTTCAAGTGGCATAACATCAATAAGCCTTTGATTAAAACGAGCATCCATTGATTCTATTAAATAGTCAAGATACATTATACATATAAACACGGCCCATGGGTAGGGCTATAACCCCTTTAGCCCCCCCCCTTAGCTACACCACTGATCACGGATGATGCATTGATGTCATAAACATCAATTATAAAAGTAAAACACACAATGTGATAATACTAATGTCTAATAGTAAATAACTGAGTACTTTGTATAGTCGTCAGTCAGTAACGGTTAGATTAAGACATTTGACAAGCAGATTTTCTGTTGCGGCCCACGGTCTTATTTATCATTATCATAAATGTTTAAAAATAAACGATTAAGGCTAACAATGACCATAATAATAATATATTATTTGGAAATAAAACGTAATATTTATATATATATATATATATCATTAATATCAGTTTAAAAATGTTTATATTTAGCAATAATATTCTAATATAGTGAAAGGAGTATTTTATTATTGTCTGTTATCGTTATGATAATCTGACATCGGCTGTACAAAAAATGCATAGTTCTGAAATAGAACCTTATACTACGGGTAAATATATTTTATAAATTCATGGTTCACTATTTTATCTTTGTAGTCCTTAATATCATTGATTTATGATTATAAATAGTAAATACAATATATAGTAAGTATTTACAATTAATGGTAATACACAATACTTTGTCAATAGTCAGCACCTACCACGATCGATAAAATTATAATGGATTTTGTAGGGATTTTCAATGAGAAAGTCTAAATAGATTTATTTTGTCATTGTTCTCTGCGGTGTCCTTTGTTTATTGTTTATAAAATTGAACCATATTTGGTTTTT